GTGCAACAAGCTAAATGTATGATCTGTAGGTACTTTCTATACCTATCAAGTTGATGTATTTGAAAGATTTAATAATTCTACTACATAAACGAAAACATTCAAAGCGATTATCACATGTTTAATCAAAATAAGATTACTATTACTTATTCTAACCAATACTGTTATAATTTAAACAGTCAGCCGTAGTTAAGATAATATACCAGTTGCCATCAAGCTAAAATACATAATTTTTGTGTTCTTTATGCATAACATTTTTTAATCCTCCTTTCCCACACTTAATTTTTATCAAGAATTTGTCCCTCAAAATTTCAATTATTGAATAATAATAATTCTAAATTCAGCTCTTTTAATAAAATTGGGGGCTGTCCCATTCTGCTACACGCACTGGGATATATGATGCCATACACTTATTTATACACAAGAATTGAACTTAAAACTCAAAACAATTTTTTTATGGTAACTTAGATCCCAATAAACATATGTACCAAAAAAAACTGATGGCTAAAATGCTATTTTATTGACTTAAAAAGGTAAAAGACAATTTGTATCACAAACGAATATATTAAATTTTTAATCTAAATAAATGTAATCATTTAGTTAAACTATATACAAAATTGGTAAACAAATCCAAGATTTTCGGATAAACTTCACTTGTATCCGCTTTTTCTTTTTACGACTGGCAACCTCTTAGTCTTTGGAGGTCTTTCTTCAGTTTTCTCTTCGCTACTTTGCTCAATTTCGGCTTCAGTTTGAATTTCAACATAATTAAAATCCTTATCAGAATTTTCACTGCAAAATAATTCATGTTTATTCTATCCTTTAAAGATTCAGGAACAAAGTGTTATAATTGTATCTCGCTCAAAGGGCGAGAGGTGGAAACATTGGTATGTAAAAATAAAATACCATGTCAACACAATACCATACGTAATTTAAAAATACCACTACTTCAAGATCTTATCGCCAAAAAAAAACAAATATTAAACTGTTACAGCACACACTGGGACATATTCTTTTGATGGGTATAGACTGAACTTGCAGAAGTACCTCGACCATATTGAACGTGGTGGAAACTAACTGAATTTATACCAGCGGTATTAGGTATTACTTCCAAACTTGAAGATAAAGAAGTGTACGGACGAGGGTTAAATAAACATTAAAAACAAAAAAAAAACACTCAATTTCAAGATACGGTGATCTTAGGTTAGGTATCGAATTATTCTTCTCTTTTAATAAGAGAGGTATTGAATTCAATAGTGATTACATAGAAAAATTTAAAGATAAGATTTTATATTGACCTAAATGGAATTCTAACACAAAAATATAATAATGTAAAGCACCATTAATTTAATAATATGATTCTTTCTGTTATAGCTCACTGTAATTTGTTCTGAAGGTTACACACCATAAAAAAAAGAAGATATATTTTATTTTATTTAAAACACCTACAGCACTGGCCAACATCTAGGGATTTTTACTATTATTTTCACCAATCGCTGTCATGACGTTTTGATCACGTGGGTTTCGGGTATTGTTGAAGACCCTGTACATTAGTTCACCTTTTTAGCTTTTGGTGAACCTTTATATGAACGATATAGGTACCTTATTATACTCTTTAGCTACTTTCGTGCAACCAATCAGCATTTCTGATTCTGGTCAACCTTTGAGATATTCCTTATAAACTCTTTATATCTACTTTTGTCCAATCGTTCAGTATTTTACAGGTAGCTTACAGTATAGCACGTCTGTAATTGCGTTGCTTTGTAATATACCTATCTTAATATTACCTACCTCTACTTTTGTGATATTGATACTTGATTTCAAGACCGTATTAATAATAAATGTATACAATTTTTTATTTTGTTTCATTGAGATTTTATTATATCCTCAATTTCAACCTCTCATAAACAACATTATAGTGTACACAGATGGACTTAAATATACTGTAAATGGTATTTTAAATTTTCCAAAAAAAGGTAGTTTTTCATAATTTCTCAACGTGAATTGTTTTTATTTACAAGCAAAAGAAATTATGAAAAATTACTTTTTTTATTTAAAATAATATTTTACAAGTTTAGTTAAGTCCATCTGTTAAAATAATATTTTACAAGTTTAGTTAAGTCCATCTGTAGACACACTGTATAATGCTGTAGAACTAACTAACATTATAACATCCATAAAAGGTTCCAGAACAACTTTCGGGGAAAAGTACCGTAAAACTGTATTATGTGATGTTGTTTGAACTTCACTTTGTAACCTCTATGAGATGTGCTATAAAAGTCGTGCGGTTGTGGACATTCGGCGCATCGCATGCGAGCTTAAAAATAGCGGAATTGCAGTTTATTAACGTAGATGGCATGTTTTTGTGCTAGCTGGGAAATACATAAATGGAACAGGCCACTAGGCATCTATTATAGGATACCAAATAAGGGAATGTACAGTAAAACCAACCAGTCGAAGTAACTTTTGATTTTTGGTAAATTTAAGTACTTTTATTGGCAAGAGAATGAATTATTCATATAAAAGTAATACCCAGAAAAATCCCTAGAGCCCGGCAGCAACGCCCTATTTTGTTTTTTAAATAGCAAGTGGGTATGTTCAAGTAACACACGAATGGAAAGGTAATTTTGGAGAATTCAGCAATGAGACTATTCATTGTGTTACTTTTGATTTCAGCGCCTTTTAGCAGGATAAAAGCTTACCTATGTAAAGTGTGACTTTCATTTAAAAGCTATTTTTTAGTAATTTAATGCATAATATAACAAAATATAATTTAATGAAGCATGAACTTAAATAATCGTGCAGATTTCTAATGTTAAGAAATACAAACTTTAATCGAAATCAACTAAAATAACAAATTTATGCTTGAAAATATCATCTTAGATTCAGAAAAAAAAAGCCTTTAAGCTATGTCCCAAATTTCGTTGAAAAACACAAATGTAGCTGAGTAGGACCAGAGAAATCAGAAGCAGAAGTAGATAAAGCAGTTAAAAAGCAGAAGTAGATAAAGCAGTTAAAAAGCAGAAGCAGATAAAGAAGATGAGAAAGCAAAAGTAGACAAAAACAGGAGGACAGCCGAAGAAGAAGATGCAACTATTTTTTTAATTAAATTTTAATTCTTTTCATTGTTAAATTATTTATTTATTTTTTTTGTAAATATTAATTAATTTTTTATATTCTGAACTTGACACAGTTTTGATATTTTTCGTTGATTGTAAGTCACATATCAGTATACATCTATATTTAAATCAACACTGCCCGTTTTAATATTACATCAGTAATACGAAAATAATGGAGATTTTGAGATGCAATGCAGCTAGAGGATTAACCACTATAATAAAATTTTTTAATATTAAATAAAACTGATTAAGTTGTCGTAAAATACCTAGTACTGGCCTCAAAGTATTATCATTAAGCTCATTAAAAACAATTATTATTTGCTTTTGTGTGTTGATTGACTAGACGGTAATTTGAAAGAAAGTTAGATTGTCATAATAATGATTGCGGGACTTCAAATCATAACGAGAATTAAATATTAATTATTTCAGCGGTCAATTAGAATCACGGAATAATCGATTATATTATACAAGTAGGTACTTACATTTGTGACGCAGTTACTATAATATCTTGCTTATTTATAAAAGAAAATAATTTAAAAGGATATAACTACTAGGTAAGTTTTAAACATCTGCTACGTGGTGTTTCATTAATAATTATTGTACATATCTAGGATTAGCTTGTATCAGCTTTAGGTGATCCGAAAAATTTTTCTCCCGAAATTTACCAGCCAAAATTTATCGCTAGCAGTTTACCGCCACTGCCATTGATTGCCCATGCAATTTATAGCCTACAATTATTGAGCGCTTCCATATTTATCATTATTCAATATATACAGTGTGGGCCAGGGAAAACTTTTTACTTAGGTTTTTTCGTATTGATGCAAAAACAAAAAACGCTCGTACAGATCAATTTTAGTTTGGAGAGGGACACTTTTTTCTAATTGCTGTATCGGCACATCAAACCTCGAATAGTGAGCAATTTAAATAGGGAAACTATCAAGCATAACACATCATTAAAAAAGGTAATTTGATGAAGAATTCGGCAATAGGACTTGTTCAATGCGTTACTTTTGATTTTAGCGGCATCAAGCTTGTTAAAAAATTGTTACGTATTGAAAGCTAATTTTATTAATGAATCAATGCACTATACAAAATTAATCTAAATCAAAATTTATCCATCTGGCACCTGCAACAAAATAAAATTTTCAATAATGCAACAAAATAACTAATTTTTAAACTAAAATCGATTTGTACGAGCGTTTTTGTTTTTTGCATCATTAACGAAAAAACCTGGTGGAAAGGTGGCCTCACCTTGTATAATAATTAAGATACAGTTATTAGTTTTATGAAATTGATTGGGGTTTATTTATTTTATTTATAATTCTGCCTTGAGGATGTAATTCAAGAAAAATTTTACTCCCAGTAAAAAATATTTTTTCTACACCCACATATATATCAGCTTATCTAAGCACAGATTACAAAACGAAAAAGTATGCTATTGCGTTCAACTGAACGAATATATCTACGACTGGTGTGAATAAGAACATAAGTCAATTTGGCATACTTTTCAGGAGAAGCTTTACAAATCAACAAGACTCATACTAACTTATGTTTATCTGCATTTTTACAAGCTATTTTAGAATTCTTATTTATTTTTCCAGTTTAGTGTTACTGACAAGTAGCTTTAACTTTATGTGAATTTTTGGGATAATTTAATTATTAATTAATTAATTAATTGACTTACGTGATTACACACAATGTTATAAGTTGACTTATGTTATTTTTTACGATATCCATTTTCTTAGATGAATGCAGGTTCATACAAAATTTTAACAACAACTAAACTTTAAATTCAACTTTATTAACAAAAATTTAAAATGCATGTAACTTATACATAATTCTTATACGTAACTACAAAGTAAAAAGTACGTTGAAAATAACAGATTAAAATTCATCATCAGATTCTGATTCTAACATTATATCAGGATCTGAACTTCGTTCATTAGTATTGCTGTTCAACTTTTCATAAAACTCCCGGAATACTGGTGGAATGAGTGGTAGGAGATCTAAAAGATCTTTCTTCTTCTCGGCACTTATTGGCACTGGATCGCTGTATGCAATTTGTGGGTCATCTATTTCCCTTCCGTTTCGCCCTCTCCTAATAAAAGAAACTTTCCTAAAATGTTCTTCTTCTCTAAGTGACTCTTTGAAGTAAAGAATACCTGGCTCATCTTATCTATATTGTAGCCACTTCAAATTTGGCCACTTAAAATCTTCACCCTCTTCAGTTTTTTTTCGATCTACCAAACTCCCCTTTAAAAGTTTGGCAAAGTCAAAAAAGTGTTCTTGCCTCATTTCCAACACTTTGAATTTCTTACTCGTTGAGCGAACAAGTTGATACCAGTCATGCGGATGGTATATGTCAGCTTCAGATTTTCGTTTTTGCTTCTCAATCATTGAATGGGCAACGTCTACTTCCATATGGCTATGCCCAGGCACCATAAACTTGTGGTCTATGATTTTAATGCTGGATTTTTTCTGCATTAAGTAAAAAAACATGGCTACCACGTGACTATTCTTGTTTTGACCCCCGCAGGTATCGGAATAAAGAACCAAATGGAAAATCTGTGGAGGCAATTCTAGTAATGTTCTAAATAAACAAGAGCAAATATCATTTGCACCACGTTTAGCTGTAGATTCGTCCCACAAACAATTGAGTGTAATGCCAAATTCATCTTGCAAAGTGAGATTAAACGTCCATAGTTGTCTCTTATAAAAGGCAACTGACGCATTAAGAGCTAGTGTGGGGAGGCACTGCTGTAAATCGAACGTAAAATTTTTTTTGAATTATTTTGTCGTGCACTAACTTTATCTTCTCTTTTGATTCTGTATGCAGCCTCCGCACTTTCATGGTGTGTATTTTTTTCTTTAATGACTTCTTGCTTGTTGACACCTTCAAGACTTTTTATTAGCATTTCATATTTATCACACCTGTGGCATGTATCTTGTTTTGGCATTTTAAATGACAATTTCAATTTGTAAAATTCTTTAGAATAATATTTGAATGAAACTGGTTCCGGAGTACATTCAGTATAAAGTTGGAATATCTTGGTAAGGTTTGGGTAAGTGGGTAGATATTTTTTGTCATTTACACGGGCACGTGCATAATGGCTTTCATAGGATGGAAAACTCAGTATATGGTTGCGTACTTCTAACAGTTTTTCTTCAGTCCATTTATTGACAGCTGGACACTGTCCTTGGTTAGATGAAGTGTCCATTCCTCTATCTGAAATTTTCTTTTAAGCAAGTGTTTTTATAAAAATGTCACTTTCATCAAAAACTGTCAGAAAACACTTTCTACATACAATAATTCTCTGATTTGTTAACTGTATGTAGTAAATATATGTTTTGAAACGAAATTTCTGCTTCTCTGGATCATCTGTTCGTGGTCTGGTAGCTTTCTTGTTCTTAATCACACAAAGACTGGAAATATAGGCGGATCTCTTATCATAGTCACTAAGACTCCAGTACTGGCGAAAAAGCTTATTTCTATCATCCTCCGGAATTTTGTCTTTGCACTTCGAGCGGCAGAGTGAAAGAGGTCTCATTACGCGTTCTTTTATAACTTTACCCTTTTTTTGTGGTATATTCTTTTCCCGTATTTTTTAAGATTTTTCTGGATTCTCTTTGTTTTCTAGAGTCTCGGGGATTGGTGCGGTATCTTTTTGGCTGGTTGGCAGGAGCTGTGAGATCAGGAGCAACTACAGAATTATTATTTTTAGTATTTTCGTTTGAACTGCTACTACTTATGGGGGGTTGAAAGCACGTTTATGTGGTCGTCCCTCATCAAAAACATTTGTTGTATCAACCTCTAGAATAAACATTCATTATTAGTAAATAAAGCAAAGATTGGCAGACTATTGCGGGCGGCTATAAATTAATACCTTTTCATAAATACCTTGATAAAGTTGCGATGAACTTGGCAAAAAGCAATGCTCAGCATCAGGTCCATTTGGTCCCACATCAAAAATATTTGTTGTGTCAACCTCTACAATGAAAAAAAAACATTTATTATTACTATTTAGAAAAAAGATCAGTAGTTTTGTTGATTTTCATAAATACCTTTATCAAGTCGTGATGAAGTTGGCAAAAAACTGTTTTCACAATAATTCTCAACAACAGTAGCTTCAGGTCCCTTTGGACATACATCAAAAATATTGTTTGTCGTATCAACCTCTAGAATAAAAAATAAACATGGCTATAAATTAATAACTTTTATAAATATCTTGATCATGTCGTAATGAACTTGGCGAAAAACCGTTATCACAATGCTCAACAACATTAGCTTCAGGTGTGTTTGGTCCCAGATTAGTTGTACCAACCTCTAAAGCTTTCATAATACTCAATGTCCTTTGTGAATACCTTTTGAAAAGTTATTAAAACCAAACACCGACACATTCAATAACCAAAAAAAGATTTTATTACTGTATCTTAATCAGAAACCAAAACAATTTGGTGTCATCGGCGTCGACTACTACGGCCATTAGCCTCGTGTTCTGTGTAGGCTTTGTTACTGTTTCCCAGCGCCACTTTAGGAACAGCACTGTTAATTAGAACCCAACAGTGAATGGTCGAGTGGGGAATCCTACCAAGGCATCAGAATTAATTTTAAATATTTAAATTAAATGAAAAAATCCCGGCCAACGGTGGGACCCAATTACTATTATTTGTCAAACTAATTGTTAGTATATTTTTTAGTTATTGAGATTAAATATACATTAAAATGAGTTATTTTTGTTTAAAATCGATAAATAATAGCATTTTTATTTGGCCACATTTTAAAAAATAATGAAATTTTAATCACTATATGGAACTCCTAAATAAGGACCTGCGTATTTGAATTTATTTCGAGACGACTTTAGCGCCATCTATTAGAGAAGCTCCGAATTAACCTGTGGCTACTCGTATGCAGTTTTAGGAAGTTTTCTTTTATATTCTAGGCAATTTTTACACATAAATGGCGATTTATAATTTCTTCCAAAATTTACTTCAATGAGCTTTTAAGGAAATTGACGCAATTAATTTAAATATTTTAAGTGACATTTGTTGCTTTGGTATATAGCCTATTCAAAAAAGAATTATTTTTATCTTCGGGTAATTATTACTGGTATATTTTTAGCTTTATTTCATCGTAAAAATTACCATATTTTGGGAATTATTTTTAAACGATCCCTGATAGTTAGAGACACCAAAAACCTTTATTTAACAGTACAGTTCATCAAATTTCTAGAGGTGTTCGACGCCCAGACAGAGAACGCGCTACGTGTGACTAAGATAGCTATTGTACAGTCTGCTAAACAAGTTATTTTAAATAGTTTTTAATATTTTTAGGTAATTAAATTTTAAAAGTGTGGAATAGTTTAGGGATTAAATTGGTCTGATTGGACTTTCTTAGAACGTTTTTAAAAGCAGCTAAAGATAGTATGTAGAATTGAAAATAATTATTATGCCATAAAAGGTGTTTTGGAATTCCTTCAACCTTTTGAAATTGAGTCAAAAAATATAAATTTTATAGGATAGCGGAAAATACCTATAATTTTTTTGTAAGCCTTTGTAAATCGTGGAAATAGTTTATATTTTATTTCTACCTTATTAAGGAAAATGGTACCTATTATTAATAACGGTTGTCTCTGAAACATTACTAAAATTTTCGAAATTTTGTTTTTCTACAAAATAATAAACTATACTATTTAGAAAAAAATTTATTTCTCTTATAATTTTATAAAAAATAACAGGGGAATATTTACATTTCTTGATCTATTAAACAAAACGAATGACACCATGTTCTTGTACGGAAGCTAGCTTTACATTTTTGTTGGTGGTTTCATGGGTTTCATATCAATTTTTTGTAATTGTAGTTTACACGTACATATACCTCTTAACACTTGTTTGCTTTATTAAAAAAGTGTATTGTTGTGATTTACGTCGAAATAAGTCAAAAACAACTTGAAACCCCATTAAAATCAAAAAGGAGAAACGGAAAAAAATTGAGCCTGTAAATGAACACAACTCAGAAACAAAAATAGCTATCTAATAATAAAAAAATAAAATTTGATTCTTGTGCAGCTTCATCTATATCATTAACTGTTTTTGGTTTTTTAATGGTTTTTCTTGGTGATGAAAATTCCGATATCTCACGGTTATCGATTCTTTTTTTCTCTCCAGAAATGCGGACGACAGTGTTTTTAGATACTCCTGTGGCTGCAGCAACACGATCATTTACATTTTTAAATGGTATTGAAGGTGAATTAAAGTTTCCTTCTCTTCTCATAAACTCTATAACATTGGCTATTATTTCGCGAGATTGACTGTTAATCACGCGGCCTCTTAATTTGCTATTAAACTCCATACTTAGGTTCTATTAAACTGTAATGAGCAAAAAACACAAACGAAAATAAAAGAAATGTTTTAGCGAAATTTACATCTGACATTTACGTCTGAATGAAATAGTGAAATACTTGATGCGCAGAGTGTACTTTCATTGCGTAAATCCGTCGGGATGCCTGTCAGTAGTGCTTTCTCTGTCTAGCCGTCGAAAGCCTCTAGAAATTTGATGAACTGTAGTATATATCTATTATCGGCAGGAATTTTTTCACTCTTCTCTTTGTTGTAGTTTCAGCTAAAAAGTCATTGAAAGAGCGTTGTGTATGCCTATGTTAAATACATTGCCCACGCCCGCCCTTAATTCTACGATATGTTCCATTCTTCCATTTGCTGTAAACATTTAACCATATCTATTGCAACCGCCTTTAAATTTAGATTAGCTACGCAAGTTCAGAAACAATTTCTATTTTTTTTTAATTTGTTAAAATTATTTTTTACACAATCTCAAGAAGGTTTTAAAATCGGGATTCAACTACTTTGAGACATTTTCAAGCTAGCAGCTTTTCCATCCCCCCTACGCCCAGAGATAACAAGAGAAGATGTGACTACAAACAAATGTCGTGCGGTCCTGAATAAAACATATTCTAAGGGGCACAGGAGGGTATAGTTTAGGCTGTTGTCATGCATATTTCATTATTTTCGTTTTGTTTACAAAATTATTTACATATCTTAAAAAAGCTAATATAATTCAACCTTGTTATCTCTGGCTACGCCCATGCATCACATTCTAATGGTTAGTTACGTTTCTACAGTAGTGTTCTCCAAAAATAAACGATACTTTCTTTTCTCTTTCTTCTGATAATCCTTTCACGCACAAACTGACCACACCACGTTCCTTTTTTATAATGCAAATATGTACAATTTTTGCAAATAATCGAATCTGTGCATGTTCAGTTCATCCGGATCATCAAGAGTGACCATCAGTCGTTTATGACTATTTAAATAAAAATACATTATTATGTAGTTAGTTATCACAATCGTGTTATTTGAACTTATAAACTCGTTTTAAATGAATTCATGAGTATTTTTAAATTATTAATGGTTGACTTATTTTAACAGGTATTTACTTGAAGATTAACACTGCCTGTTAATGGATGCAAATACAGAATGTCAAATAGGAGCAACAGAAAAAGTATTAAGGTATTTTTGTTTATTAAGAACATTCTATTTAATATTTTACAGTGACATTGACTATTAAGTACATGATAAAGAATCAGTTTATTGACTCTAAAAACCTACATTCTTTTAACTCCACAAAGCTTTGTAAGTGAATTATTTATATGTATAAAATTTAAGCTAACCTCGTCCTCTGTTTACTAGTTGATATTAAATGATAATTGAGATATTAGAGGGTAATGTGATTGTCCAATGAATAATAATACACTATCGTTGATTATTGATAAATGAATAAGGCTATTTTTAAATAAATAATCTAAAATTAAAGAACGTCGCCAGACTTCTTAATCTTTGTATATTCAGTAAATAGGAGTTTCTATACTAATTTTGATCACTGCAAAAATGGCCTTAGTATTTTTTATACTAACTGTAAGACCGGGATTACCTCTAAATTTTTATCTTTATTATACAGGGTGATTCATTAAGGGTAGTGACCGACCGTATCTCAGAATAACTTGAAGCAAATTTTTTTTGAAAAGAAAATGCAGATAGATTGATTTTTATTTCAAGGGAGACATCTATCTATAATATTATCAACTCTCTCCTCCGTCATACTAACCAATACTATTTAAATGTGGAAAGTACCAAATATAATACATCATCGAAAAGGTAATTCTATGGGAAATTCAGCAATATAACTGTTTATTGCATCACTTTTAATTTTAGCGCCTTCTAGCGGGATAAAAATTGTATTTTAAAGTGTAACACTTTATTTGAAAGAAAATATTTGTAGAATTTTGAGAAAAACATTTTCATGATAAAAGTGGACAAATTACTAACTTCGCCATTATTTATATGTTCAATGTACAGTGACTTTACAAAGATAGTGACAACAATAGAAGTTAAGCTCCGACCATCAGCCATGTTGAGGCACATTCAAATATTGACAATGCTTTTAGATGAGATTATGAATGAACTTTATCCTATAAAACGCATTTTTTATGCAAAATAATTTTGGAATTTTTTTTTTTGAAGTTATTGACATATAAAATAATATTTTAAGCTTGTAAATGTATAAACACTTTTTATTATTATTTGACAGGAAAATAATGTTTAGGGTACAGTTTGAAGTTGGTTTCCAAACAATAATCTTGATAAAAAGTGAACTAAAAAATCTGATGTGTCCAACATATGACTTTCCTATCCAGTTATTATATGCTTTTTCCGGTTATTTTGTACAACCTATTGTAGCACCTCTATAAATGTTTAGAGGATAATCTAAATATATGCATGTTCCACATACATCTAACTCGAAACATTTTTCTATAGATATTCACTGAAAACGAAAATACTGAAAAATTTAAATTTAGTACTTTTCTTCAATTTTTTCATTACGGTCCATTTTAGAAAAATCATGTACAAACAAAAATTATAGGGATCGATATCGCAAACAAGTTTTAGTAACAATTTTCTTTAAAATCAGAATTTTGCATATTTTGTCAAATTTCTCGAATACGGACCATTTCAGGAAAATTTAACATGTAACAAAAATTATAGATAATAATATTAGAAGTAACTTTTATTTAAAAAATTTTCTTCTCCAAACATAAATAACAGATATATTCCATAAAATATAAAAACGGCCTCCCATAAAATACCCCCCCAGATGTTCCGAC